CCTTGAGCCCTAAGGCTGTTTGGTGCAAGAGATGGACTGCAGCATTAGGATTCACTTACCTGGTGATTTTGTGTAGGGTCAATTCTCCAGGTCTTTAGCTGTGCCCCCAAAACCTCAGGAAGTTGTCAACTGGGCAACCCTGGCTTTGGGGCTCAGCTATAATGCCTCAATGATATGTCATTCAGACATGCTCAAAACCACCCATGTTTTTTCATTATCCTGTATGCTTCAGAACAGCTGCTGCCATAAGTCATACATTAGCCTTTAAATCTATGATACAGTATAGTTTTGTTATTTGTCTATGAATATATCATTTAGCAATTGTTGTGAAAGTAAGCTGCCTTGGGTCCTTTTAAGGAGAAAGGAATAGTAAAAATATATTAAATAAATAAATAAAATAAATAAATAAATATCTGCCCTGTAATGTTACAAAAGTCTGGCGATTGTGACATCATACAAGGTGGCCCCTTGGCTGCAGGTTTTGGCCTTTAGATTTCAGAGAAATGGAAGCTGCTTGGCCAGTGACCTGCATCATCAGTGATCTCTAGATCAACAGCTTGTAACCCTGGCTTCACAACTGCAGTCTCACTCTGCTTAACAATGCTTACCCAGATATAGTAATACAAGTTTATGCACCAACCACCAATGCTGAAGAGGCTGAAACTGACCAATTTTATAAAGACTTACAGAGCTGATTGTGGCTCTGATCATCAGCTTCTTATAGCAAAACTCAAGCTTAAACTGAAGAAAGGAGGAAAAACCACTGGGATAGTCAGGTATAATCTAAACCATATCCCGCATGAATACGCAGTGGAAGTGAAGAACAGATTTAAGGAACTAGATTTGGTGGACAAAGTGCCTGAAGAACTATAGATGGAGGCTCGTAACATTGTACAGGAGGCAGCAACAAAAATCATCCCAAAGAAAAGGAAATGCAAGAAAGAAAAGTGGTTGTCCAACGAGGCCTTACAAATATCAGAGAAGAGAAGGGAGACAAAATGCAAGGGAGATAGGGAAAGTTACATTTAACAGAAAGTTAGATTGAATGCAGACTTCCAAAGAATAGCAAGGTGCTACACTCAATATGCCAGCAAGTTTGGAAAACTGCAGTGGCCAAAGAATTGGAAAAGATCAGTCTACATCCCAATCCCAAAGAAGGGCAGTGCCAAAGAATGCTCCAACTACCGTACAATTACACTCATTTCACACACTAGCAAGGTTATGCTCAAAATTCTACAAGGTAAGCTTCAGCAGTATGTGGACCGAGAACTCCCAGAAGTACAAGCTGGATTTCAAAGGGGCAAAGGAACTAGAGACCAAATTGCTAACATGCGCTGGATTATGGAGAAAGCCAGAGAGTTCCAGAAAAATATCTACTTCTGCTTCATTGACTATGCAAAAGTCTTTGACTGTGTGGACCACAGCAAATTATGGCAA